TACTCACAGCCACTGAACATCAGTTGAGAATATAAAAGTTAATTGGGATGGAATTATACCCGCATGACTCATGCAGAGCATCCAAAAGCTGAACCGCAATTTGACAGAACAGCCAATGGCTAAGGAATTCATTCCCAACACAAGTGAGGTTAGTCGTGGACCTCACCAGATTTGCTTTTAAATATTGTTTTTCATCTTTCTTTAAATAATATGAATATGTAGAAATATGCATGTATAGATAACTTCAAAAATCAAACCAAAACACTTCGCCGCCCACATTGTTTTCTTTCTAAAGGTGAGACGAGAACTGTTGTTGGCATATGTTAGTTACACTAATTAATACAGACCTGGAAGGTGTTTTGAAATTACAGTGATGACATAAAAATCACCAGTTTATAGCTATGCAAAATAAGTGGCCCTTTTTTCAAAAGCTTTCCACTTTGCCTGCCTTTTGGATAGGTGACATTATACAGTCTGTATCTCCAGTGAAGGATATTGAACCACATTACAACTGAGTAATCCTGCTCAGCCTCTACCAGCACACATAGAAATTAGTAATTTATTTTCTAAATAGGATGCTAAGAGACAACACTTCAAATGATTGTCCTATAAACATAGACTTCTGGACATAGTGGTTTTACTGCATGAATAGACCCAATTCTGTTAAACTTGAAGAAAAAATGTTTTCAGAATTACTGTTGCCACAATAGCAGTTTTGATAGAATAGATGTAACAGATGAAACTCATGAGTCAATTCACATCACAGACAGAGTAACTTCTCATCTGCCTAAACAGACTATGTAGACATGCTTTAAATTATGAGATTAAAATAAATAAATAAAAATCCAGAAATTCAATTAACCAACACAAAATAAAGAAATGAGCATTTGATGGGAACTGCAAGGAGAAGACATCAGTTGCTTGATAAAATAAGAAAAGAAGATGATAAACTATGAATCCAGTTTTGTCAAATGGTGAAGCAGCTCTACAACACAGCCACAACTTGGGACAAATCCAACATAAAAGGTCAGGTAAAAAAAAAAAAAAGTAATAAAAAAAAAAAAGCTTAAATGGATTTCACTTCAAAAGTTAGAAAAATATTTCACAGTCTAAAGATCGAAGGTGCCCGGTCAGATTTGTAAAAGTATTTAGGTAGATACCTAGCTTAAAATCACCAGTGTTAACTCAACACACTTATCTGGTGGATTCTGGGACATTATTTAAGTACCTAACCAAAGTCATACCCACTTCTAAATGCTTCAGTCATTTTTAGAAACAAAAAACATTTTCTTATAGGTGCTGCAGTATCATGGATGCTTTTAAAAATTTTAGCCAAAGTATTCTAACTCCACATGATTATTATTCCTGACCTAGGTAGAATTATTAATGCTTAGCAGAGTAAATTCTATTCTATGCAACTAAATCTTTTGCTCACACTTTCATATCATGTTTCAATTACTGCAATTTCTTTTTCTCTGTCATTGGCAAAGGAAATCTTGTTTCACTGAAATCTATCCAAAATTAATTTTACTACATCTTTGCTTTGATCAGCTTTTCCATGACACTTACAAAATTGTAACAATGTTTAATTTACCAGTATTGTTAGGCCAAAATCCATCTTACTGATCATTACTGTCTTACTGTTTTCCTTGCACTCTGTCTTCTGCCTGTCTGCAAACATCTATAATCACATCTTGTACATAAAATGTAACTGTTTTGGGCAGGGGAGACATGTCTTATATTTAAAAAAACAAAAAACAAACAAACAAAAAAAAACACATAGCACAAAAGGAGTGTGTGTTTAAGGATCACTGGAATAATACACTTAAATAACATTATCTTTTAGCATCTGGTCATTGGAAAATGTGTTTTTTTTTTGTTTGTTTTGTTTTGTTTTTAAGATTTTACATAGTTTTATGTATGTGCACGCACAGATACCTATATGAAAAAAGGGATATATTTTATCCCATCTTCTCACATTCAGTGGAGTGGCGATTTTCAAGTATTATTGTGCAAATATTTAAAGATTATTTTATCCTAAGAAAAAAACATCACATTGGAGAGCAAAATGTTCAACACTCACAAAGCAGCATAGAACTGAAACATCTGATGGGTTTATAACAGACTGTGTGATTACAATCCAAAAGCTGCGAACAGGAACATCTTGTTGATTGTGTTTGTGATAGACTTGTTGATGGACTATGAGGGACAAGAGAAGGGAATGATGGTTATTTTGTGAGCACAGTTTGTACCTGTATGGGGAGTAGCAATGACCATATTACTTAAATGAAGCCCAGGAAATCTCAACTAGAATACTGCAGATTCTTGCCTGCCTCGGAGAAGTGCAAACGTGGAAGTGCCCAGTGGTCTCTGGTTTTCTGTGGCATTCTTTCATGACAAGAATACTAGCTTCAAAGATTAATGATAAATGCCATAAGCCCACATAAGCTCCTGAAGAAGACTGCAGAAAGATCATGCCAATTGAATATTTCAGATGTGAACAAAACTAGGTTTATAATCGCAAAACACATTTACATATTAAAAAATCCACATCCCCCCACAACAAATAGACTTGATCCAAATCCAGGAGTGAGTCACACAGTATCAGATCCATGGAGGGGGGAGCCTAAGCCTTCATTAAATAGAAGAGAGTCTGATACAATGTTTTTTATGCTGGAGCACAACCTAAAGTGTATATGGGAAGTGTGTCACCATAGGAACCACTTTGCTGAAATGAGTAGGAGAAGTGAAATGCAGGGAGGGAGAGAAGCATTTAATAAAAGGATGAAAGTACTGAATACTACTGCATTTGAAAGCCAGCCATTGAATTTTAAAGATATTAGCCAGATGTTAATAAGGTGATTAAATTCATAAAAGCATGGGAGAAGAGGTAAACATAATCCAGTGACTAATCCAAAGGAAGAGTTAATTGTAACAGAAATGTAAAACAAAAGTACAGTCAGCATTCTGCAAATGCAGATATCCAAACACAAACAAAAAAAGCATAAAAACATCAATTTTATGTCATTGGTTACAAACTAAGATGATAATCTGTAAACTTTGTAGCACAAACAAAAAATAATAAAAAAAATACTCTGAATTTTGATTTTCTTGCAGCAACAGGGCAATAATATACAAATAAGGTAATTTCTAGAATTCAGTTACTCAATCCATATAGCGGGTAGTACAGATAGATAATGAAGAGTTACTGGAAAATGTGAAACCAGGGATAGTTGGTATATATCCTTTTAGACTGAATGATGAAGAGTGACACCATGTACTTCAGTCACAGAAATAAGGAGAGAAAAAAAGAAAAAAAAAAAAAAAGCAAAACGCCTCTAAAGCACTGTTATCATCAATAACCACATTACTAATGGTTAATAGTTCTGGGCTGACTGAAAGTAGAGACCTGCTGTGCTACGAATTATATACCTAGAGAATAGCTGCCTCCTTCTTAGAGACAGATGGATGAAAAAGGCACAGGCTATGGAGAAAATGTAACATGCAGAAGCAAATATCAATTATCTCAGTATCTTTTGTGCAGAGAGTTAATTAATGGGCAGAGAAGTATAGGCACATGGGGCCTTTCAAGGGATAATGAGAGATGAGGCAAGGATTGAAGGTGAATGAGCCTGGAGTGAAGTTGAAGTACAAAGACTGGTGGGAGGAGAGGGTAGAAGATGAGAAGATGCTCTCAGAACTGCAAGACCTGCAGGGGATGAACATCGCTGTGTGGTGCTTGGGGATACTGGTGCAGAGGAGTCACCAACTCACTCCTATGGGTGAGCTGGTCCTCCCTGTCTCCCTAGGTGAGGGAGAGAGGAGGTGCAAGGCAGGCCTGGCCTCCTGGCAGAATGGGCAGAGGGGGTTAAGGGATGAGCATAAGCTCTCCTGTGCTACTGCAGCAGCTGGCTCAGAACAAGCTCTTATAGCAAACATACTGAAAACTCAAGGAGAAATTCACAGTGCATGTCAGTGGAGGAAACCAAAGGCTGTCTTCTGCAAAATCTCTAATAGGGCTTCCAAATTAAAGTGTACAGGGCTTTGTTCTTGTAGGATGCAGGATTAATGAGCATGCAGAAATAATCCTTTATTGTTTGCTTGCAGCAAAGGAAACACCCAGAGATACAAAACTGGCTGATATATTTAATACTATAAGGGTGGGTTAGTTAGATGGTTTTTATTTATTCTTTGTAACTTAAAGAAAATACTAAAGCAATGTCTGCAAAATGCACTGTAGTAATATAAATTTTATATATTTCCTTTGGTGAAAACAGTTACACCAATAAATATGTCACGATCAAATCAGATTTTATTGCTTAATTAAAAAAATGAGCCCTGTTCTTAAACTGTAATCTACAGACTAAATCTGGAATTCTTTATTTAATTTTCAGAAGGCAAGAGTTCTGTTTTATATTGCAATTTGCTAAACAAGTACTAAGTAAAATTTTATTTTGTGTAATTCTATTAAAATTTTATGCTTGCAGAATCACAGAATGGTTTATGTTGGAAGTGAGCTCTGGATGCCACCTGGTCCAACCAATGCTCAGTCAGGAACACCCAGAGCAGGGTGCCCAAGACCATGCCACATAGTGAAGACTGTTCATTGTAGAGTATATGCTGCCCGAATCACAACTTGATAATATACAGAGTCAAATAATATTAAATTTTTTCATCTATATTTGAAAAAAATCTATCAAATATGCATATGTTTTAACTATATTTATAATCAAAGCCAAAAATCTGAATAATTTCCTAAACTGTATATTATCAGTATACTACATGCAATGCAAACAAATATACTCCATACAGTTTACAAAGAGCTTCGGGGAGATTCAGTCTTCATTTTGTTCAGGAAAGTAGGGGAGGAAAAAAAGAAAATAATTGTACAGTCCTTAAATAGCTATGTTAGCTGCTCAAATTTTCAAGGCAACTAAGCATTTGAAGTCACGAGGCTTTGGCAATTTACAAACACCAACCATCTGCTCTTCATTTTCCAGAAATCAACTGCACTGAACAGACACCCAAGACTCACATGAAACAATACTAAACAAAATGAGGGAGCCACAGCTACGAACATCCATAAAGAAAGAAGGTCACAGCAAGGAACAATAACAGTTTCTTACTTCTCAAAGAATCTTTTTGGTTTTCCTACAGTGACATGAGAAGCTTAATTCCCATGGAGCATGTGTTCTTGCTCATTAATTTCTGTGTTTTTAGAGGTCTGGAATTGGATCTCAGCAGCAAAGCTCTGCTGGTACATCTGCATCTCACATTGGAAAGATTTTCCCTTTTTTTTTTTTTTAATGTACATCTGTATTGTTAACATTTTCTTTTCTAACTTGTGATTCCATTTAAAACAATAATGAAATAACTCAGTCTTGGTAAGCTATAATTCTCATAGTGTTAGAATTCACATTATCAGTTGTTTCCAAAGAGACCTGAAACTAGCAAAGAATATCTTACCAACCATTCATTTCATACTCTATTATGAATGTTTTTCCTAGCACCTACCTGGACAGACTGGTCAGAATGAACTGCATCAGGGTGCCCCTACACTAAATTTTTGTCTATTAGAATACAATAGCATAGAACAGAACCAATTTTTCCAATTACCAACTGTCCATCTTTCCTAACTAGGGATTTTTCTTCCCCTGTAGCTCTATATGAAAAATTTACATTTGCATGTTTGTTACGGTTTCAGCGCAAGCTCACTGACCTGCACGTAAAAGAAACAGCCCCTGTAGGGCAGAAAAAAACAGCTTTGGAAAAATGACTACCACACAGATACCCAAATAATTCATCATGATTAATTTTATTTCCATAAATCCCATGAGAAGTAATAATGATTTGCCTCTTCTTATAAAGCATTGCCCCCAGCATTATTTGTAACACTGAAGTGAATACAGGGCACATCATTGTACTCCCTGGGTCTCATCATAATCCATGCCCCACTGAAAAATACAAATTATAGACAAGACCCCAGGGATCTTAGACTCCTTGGAGCTAAAATCAACAGCAGGAGGATTCTACAATAAAACTCAAGTATCAAATGAGACTACAGTAGTTAAGTGAGACTGCAGCGGGATCTAAGTGGAACTGATTTCCTACAGCAACTAAACATCTGCACTACCATAAGCAAACAATCACAGGACAGATTCCTCTCCTCATTCCCGATAAGCAGGCACTGGTCTCTCTCCAGGAGAGCAGACCCACACAACATCCTTGCTGTGCCAGCACCGCCACTAAAATAGCCGCAAGTTTCTTTAATGGAGGTTCAACACAGTAGCCCATCGCACTGAAGCATTTCTGCTCAAGGGGAAATCACAGAATTATCATCTCTTGGGTTCCTGACTTCAGTCAGGATGAGATCGTTCCATAGGGAAACTCACACAGAAGTCATTTCTTTGAGTGACCTTTCAAATCCAGGGGATGCATCACAACCCACGTCTGGGCAGATGACAAACTCTACTGACCTTTCCCTTCCACTTCATCAGTCTAGATGGGATTTCTGCTCCTCACGGTGGGGCTTGTCGAGACAAACATTTTTATTCATCTTATTTTAATGCATAAGAAAAGAAGTACAATCTAACTGTTGCTGTGTTTTTGTGTCTCAACCCTTTCAGTCCCTGCTTTTCCTCACTGAGCATTTGTTAATTGTGACTTCAGCCAGTAACTGTGTTTCGTAGGCCTGTAAAGTATCATGAATGTGTATGGCATGGCTCAAGTATGCAAACCTAATTATGTTATTAGCATCCTCCACCACCACAGTCTGATTTCATTAGCTACTAACTTGGTAACTGCTAAGAGCTACAAACAAAGCTGGATTTCCTCAGAAAAATCATAACAGTAACTTTCCAGAGGTAAAGAGCATTGCAAACACAGAGCTTTCTACTTCGAGAATACCGCTCACAAAGTGAAGTGGAAATGTGCAGGCAGTATTTACAGCTTTTTGTTATTAAAGCTGGGGAAAAAAGCATTGAGAGAAGTTAGGTGCAAAACTAACACTCCCTGTCAGTTTTCAATATTTTGATTTTCAGCCATAATTAATAGTGATTTTTCAGTAGCTTTGTCTCCTAGTTTTACAGATCTGAACAACAGGCAAAAGAAAACTTATTTCACAGAAGGAGCTAGTAACTAGCATAGCTAATATAATTGAGTGAGTTTTTTAAGGAAAAAGCAATCCTATTTTTGCAATAAATAACAATTTTGTGAATTTGAAAACAATCATTTTGTTTCTGCAAGCTGGTTTTCCTTCAGGAAAGGAAATCAATCAGAAGCATGGCAATTAATAATCATGAAAGGATTAATTTAATGACATGACAACATGGGTATAGGTGAGCAATTCATGATGTCTTGCAGGTCCATATATTGTCACAGCATGGAGTGGGGTGAGGACTCCCATTGTCTGCAGGTTCTCTTCCATCTTTTTATTTCCCCATTAAGACTAAGCATCCTATAAATCTGATTCATTTAAGCATTTTGTTGGAAGGTAGGAGGCTTGAGGTATGCTTAGTGGAAAAGAAAAAGAAAAATTACCACTGCTGATGAACACAAATGGGAAGCCAGAAATTAATGACAGTGACTGTAACAGCTGATTATAGGCTGCACCTGCCATGCAGGACCAGCCCATGGATGGCCTCATTGCCTGCTCAGTCTGTTTGCTTTCCATTGGCTCATAGGAAAGAGGTTTCAAGGGAAGAGTGAAGATTACTTGCAGGGTGGGACGGGCCAGGACCCAGGTTAGATCTGTGTGTGTGGTAGATGTACACAGAAAGGCACAGAATCTGCCTCTGACATATCGTTGAAGAAGAGCTGGATCCCCCATGTGGCTTTCCTCCCTTACCTTTTGTGCATCTCTATCTACTTTGCCACATCATGACTTAACAGTCAGGGTATTCTCTTCTTTCTGTATTTTCTTCCTGCTCCTACTCTCTTTTTAGGGCTTAGTATTGTAGAACCACTGCTTCATTTCCTTTTCTTACAAAGAGGCACATGGAGGTTTACCACAGTTACCTCTCCCACAATGCACAGTGAGATGGACTCCCCAGTTTTACACAACATCCATCAGCCTTTAATCTCACCCCCCCCCCCCCCAAAAAAAAAAAAATTACCCTTCTCCTTATAGCTTGCAGCAGCATGTCTGCTTAGGCTATATCTCACTCAGAACAATGGCTACCACATGAACAGTTCGAATGAAAGAAACTATTCAAAGAAAGAAGTAATGCAATCAATTATGCCCTTATTACATTTTTGTACTATTCCCTCATTTTGTTAAGGTTAGAGGCAACATCTTTCTTTCTTTTTTTTTTTATTTAATATAAATATATTTTATTTTATTTATTTTACTTTTTATGCAGTTGATTTGACAAACAATTTTAGCCTGCCAATCTTCAGTTAGACTTGTTATCCATAAACTAGTTTAAGTTAATACAAAAACTGAACAGATGCATGGAAACCTATGGTCTGATTCAGATCTTGAATCAGAAACTTTTACCTTCTTGTCTGAGTCATACACAAACATAAAGAACAATGTGCACTTACGAATTACCAAAAATAAAAACTAGATTTCTATCCTTCCCCACCTCCCCTAAATTTTATTCATAACTCATAATCATAGCCTAATTAGAGTAAACAAACAAAACCCAAACTCACTGAGACTAAGAGCACAGAACCAGTAGCAGGAATACTTCAAAAGGACTGGATAGTGATACAGAAATAAAATTTTGAAATGGATAGTGATGAGTCAGTGCTATTTAAAGAGTAAGTTTGCAATAATAATCTCTGTGCTTGAAATAAATGGGGGCCAAAAAAAAAAAAAAAAAAAAAAAGACTGTCAAAAGTCCAGACTGTCAAGCCAGTTGTACACCAGCCCCTTTCTTGTACTGTTTAGTTGGGCTTTATGGCCATGTTAGGTGATGGAAAATATGATGCTTGCTCCTACAAATGCACTTAACATTTCTCTGTATCTTAGAAGACAGTCACTGTCAAAAAATATGATCAAGCTTGAAGTGAAGTTAGGCTACCAGAATCTCTATGTTGATAATTATACTGACTTTGATTTTATGCTATAATACTGTATTATAGGGATTATCCAAAAAAAAAGGTTTCGCATTAGCAAAATCTTCAATTTTCCTATGTTTCCTGTGCAATATTATGTTGTCTTTAATTGGCGATCTGATTAGTCATTCCATTCTCTTGGACTGTAGTTATGATTCCCTCTGCTTATTACTAGAGGCTTTTTAAGATTTGTGAACAGAATCAACCGGAAACTTTAAATTAGTCATTCTAAACAGAATGGCAGCTAATTTGAGATCAAACAAATTAAATATTGTTTTCAGAGTTAGTTGAAATCTGATGTCTACAGAAATTTTAGCTACAGATTTAGGAGTAGCACGAGCTACATATTTAGGAGAAAAAATATTTTAAAGGTGACTGAACAGCTTCTCTATAGTAACAGAAGAAAGCTTAAATCTGTTGTGTTGATGAGTGGAGACTGCCTTTTCTTATATCTATGCTGCTGAATCTAGCTAGACAAAACTACAGGACAGGGAGCAAAACAAGGATATAAATGCATGACTTGGTTCTATAAATGCATGGCTTTTGTTCTGCCATGACTTTCTGTGGCACACTGGCATAGCCAAAGAACCTGCTTTTGCACACATTATTTTTCCAAAACCATAGAAGAGGAAGGTGTAGAAGAAGAGTCCATTACAGATAGCCACATAGTAGAGAGGAATACATATGCTGACAGATATCTGCTTGGTTACCATCTCTAGACAATTCTCAGATTTCAATTTTCTCTCTCTTTATTGTCTCTGCCAATTCATTAGGGGACAAAACAAAACAAAACAACAACAAAAAAAACCTGTTTTGAGTGTGAAATCATATCACAGGCATCAAATTGAACCAATTATCAATATATTGAAAGCAAGTCTTCTAGGAATTTGGACGTTGGTCACAATAAATGCCATCTTTGTATTCTGGTTTATGGTTGCTTTATGAAGCAGTGTTTTTTGCAGTTATCAAATGTTGCAATCACCATGGCAACTCCCCACTCACTTTTTCTACTATTTGGCTTGTCAATCTGCTAGAGGTAGAGAGTCTGAAAGCACAATCATGCAAAAAGTTGAGCAATTTTGACATCCTTCTTGCTACGAAAGCAAATGTTCTTAGCACCTCAGTAGAGCAGCTCATCCCTTTACAATCCTTTACATCCTGCACTGTTTTGTATTCAGAATCTGTCTCAAGTTCAGACAGGGTGAAATACAAGAAGTAGTCATTTATACACACAAGTAATTTCATTTTCCATGTTACAGCAGCTCCAGATGCCACAATCAGCATGGCATTAAGACATCATTTAGAGATGATAACGAATAAATATAATGTATTTTCAAAAAGAAGACCTTTAGATTCTTTTGCACTTCTGTCATTTGTTCTTGTGTCATGAAGGATGTCATCCTTCCTTCTGCCCATTTCTGACATGGGAAGAACAGTGGAGAAGTTTGAGGAGTATTTTGCTCTGACTGCATACTATTTCTCATTTGTAGCAATTCACAGACAGAACACTAAACCTGGATTGACCTGTCACAATTTATCTTTTCTGATTTCCAATTTCTGTTAAGAAAAGGGAAAAGGGAAGAGCATGATAAAAGAAATGAAACCCTCAATTCAAACCCGTCCAGTCCAACCATCACTTCTTTCAGCGAGATGAGCTTCACAAAAGGATGCCCTGAACTCTCTCTCTTTGCCAGTACTTCTTCAGTATCTGTATACAGGGCAATCAAAGAAGCGACTGTCACCCATATGTCCTTGTGCAACCTGTTCATGCACCACTAACATAGGTAGCATGTGTGTTAGTGCAGGTTGTGAAAGCTCACCTGAAAAATCATAGGAAAATATGTGAAATTCAGGCTAGCAAGTAACAGAATATATAGCTAGATTGAATGTATGCCTACAAGCTTCAGAGCAACAACTTCAGGATCAGGTGTCATCTGAGTGGTAATTTTTGCTTATACCTTTCCACATCATATCAGTAAGAACTGAAGAGCACTATCCTCCTGCATGGGAGCTTTGTCCAGCCAACACTTGTTAGGATAGGCCATCCATTATGTAAACTAGTTGCTAGTTTAGTATAACTCAACTAGCAATTAATCATGTTCTATTCATTTCTTTCACACAGTTGTGCCACTGAACTCAATTCTAGAGTATGGATGCTTCTAAATCTAAAGGAGCATCTAAAATGAGGTAACGTGCAAGACTGTTTTATTTTAAACAAACTAACCACTGGTAGCTCCTAAACACTGAGGAGGTCTTCCATGAAACTCAAGTTTAGATTTTGTCAGATAAGTCACCCATTTCTCATTAAAGATTATAACATCAAGTGTTTGGAAATTTAATGAAATGTAATGTTTGGGGCCTGAACAAGTACAAGAGAAAGATGTAGTTTATCAAACTTGAAAAAGTGATGGAAAATTGTTGCATTTAATTTTTTATCAAACTTAATGAAAAGTATGGTCTTATGTATTTAACAGAAATGTGGTATATTTTGGTCCAAAAAATATTTTTTTAGGAAAAGTTATATAACTTAAAAGAGAACATTCAAGGTGTTGACATAGAATAGTAAGTTGATGCATTATCATACAGCTAAATTATTAAGAAGACAGAAGTTTTGTTATCAAGATAGAACACTGAACTAGGTTTAAAGGTATATCTCTAAAAATACCAGATGGGACATTCATAATAAAAAGTGTACTTGCCCTGATCCTAGCAAACAGGAATAAAAATCCTTCTTGCAACTCAGCAATACTATATATCAAGAGAAAAACTCTGGATACCTTTCCAAGGATCTAAACATTTGAAATAAGTTGTTTCCACTCTGCTTTACAAGCAGATCAGTAACCTTAATGCAAAATCATACCTGAAATATCTGAAAAACAGCAATCTGCATCACCCACTAGAAAACCAATCAGTCACCTGCATTTCATGAATGTAGGCCATCACCTGTATTTCATGAATTTATTATAATTGACTGCCATTATTCTTAACTTCTGGTCATGGAAAGCATAGAAGGATTAAATGATGCTGTTAGGGCTCCAATTTGAGTCCTTCCATTGATGAAGGCTAACTACATACTGGGCTGCACTAGCAAGAGTAAATGAGTTAAGGTAAGCGATTGCTCCCTGCTATGCAGTTTTAAGGGACTAAACCAGGAGTCCAATGCAAAATTTCTTTAATAAACTGAAGGGTGCTCAGGTGAGGGCAGGAGAACATAATGTTCTAGGAGAGGCTGAAGAAGCTAGGTTATTCTGGCCTGAAGTAGAGATCTGACATCTTTCTTCAGCTACTGACTGAGCGAGCACTGAGAAGTCAGAGCCAACCATTTTTGAAGGTACTTGGTGATAGGACAAGAGGCAATGGACACAAGATGCAGCAGGGAAAATTCTATCTAAATATAAGGGAAAAAGATGCAGTTAGCATAGTCTGCACTATAGGTTGTATAATTTCCACCTCTGGAGATCTCTGAAACAACCTGGAAAAGGCCCTGAGCAACCTGATCTAATTTTCAAATTAAGAGCTTTGAGAAGGAAGATGGACTAGATGATTTCCAAAGGTCCTTTCCAATGCAAATTACTCTATGATTCTGCAAGAACAATGTTTCAACCAAAGCGAATTTATTGACCGTTTTATTGCCAAAATTTCTCTGAAGATATTTTAAAATATTGACCTAACTGAACTACTTGTTAAAACTTGACTAAATATGAAATGCAATAGATTTACTTCACATGCCAAAAGTCAGGTGGTATGTGTCATATTGTCAAACACAAAATGAGTTAAAGACCTAAGAGTTCCTCCAAGGTACAACATATATTTTGTGTTTGGGTACTTGCAGCACCTGCACTGTAATAAGTTATTCACTGGGAATTCTTCTCTAAACTTTTTTCTAAATGTTTCTATTTTTTTTTTTCCTTTAAAAAACTCCTTTTAAAAAGCTTTTTTTCATTGTATATCTGAGAGCAGTCAGTAAAAAGTGAGGACAGGCAAGAACAAAAGGAGAAAATGTGAAAGTATTCTACAT